ATGACCAAGTTGCGAAAACAAGGTCAAAAAATAGTATACAACGAAAGGAGCAGCGACCATATAAAAGACCCCATTATCTTGGCCTTTCATGCATTAATATAATCAGTGGAATGGATACGTCGTATTAGACCAATGAAAAGCTGAATCGCCCCTAATTAGAGGTCATATTTTTGATGACTCCAGGCATATTTGGGAATGAGTAGTAATATTATTAAATGAGATTAATTGTTTAAGACTAATAGACACACAATTTGAAAGTTTCAATAGTGATTACGAATTATCATTAGGCTTCATCTTACAACTCTCACTACAGTTGAAGATCATGGGAAAGATGAACGACAGGTGACGGAGAATATACTGTCGCTTTATGCTTATATAGACTCAAATAACTTGATAAAAAAATACACATACACACATGAAATGAAATTAATACCCGAAATATAGTCGATCAGTCCACCTTCAACAATGCTCTAGAAGCGCGAAAGTAACCTAATCATCTGTTATAAAGAATATTACACGACTGATTTCAAACCAGAGACCACATAATAGCCAAGCTTAATAAAGTATGTGTTGTATTCAAAAATTTTGAAGAATGGAATTCGTAAAAATTCTTGGTACATAAACTTTACATTTAGCATCTCAGCAAAATGTAGAATGCATTAATTTGGTGTATAGGGTATTAGGATGGACAAACCATTATGTAGAAAAGTATACGACATATAATATAAACATTAACAACGGATTTTCTAAATAAAAAACAGTGAAACTAACAAATTTTGCATGATAAATGCAAAATGACGTCCTCCAAACAGAAGCACATGACAAACAACTAAAGTAGATATAAGTGAAAAGGCGAAAACAAAAGCTCACCAGTTGTAGGAAGATGATCCAAATATTTACAAGAAGCAAGCTTTACTGTCTTTAAAGTCATTTCAGCTGAGGTTCCACCAATTACAATAGCAAGATGATAAGGAGGACAAGCAGCTGTACCTAAAGTCTAAAATATAAAATAATTTTAATAAATTGAAAGTTAGATAACAAGGCAAAGGATTGTAAACATACCTTGACTTTTTCATTTATAAATGAAAGAAGCTTTTCTTGGTTTAAAAGTGCCTTCGTTTGCTGGTATAAATAAGATTTGTTGGCCGAGCCGCCACCCTTTGCGATAAAGAGAAAATTATATTCGTCCCCACTAGTAGCGTAAAGTTCTATTTGGGCGGGCAAATTAGTCCCAGTATTTTTTTCAGTGTACATATCAAGCGGAGCAACCTAAATAAATGGTGAAAATAT